ACTAACCCTTGAGGGATCATCTCCTCTCGGCTCGTCTCTAAGGAGAGCGGGTTATTTCCAACGTCTTTGTCTGCTATTTACATTTTGGCTGTGGCAAAAGGCGGCGGGGTCTGTCCTTCAACTTCCACTGCCTAGTGCCCTTGGAGGACTGCTCACGGTGACGCAGCTGCTGACCTTATTCTGTCCTCTGAGAGGGAAAATAAAAAACGGCGAAGTGTGACATCTTCATTAAAGTCTCTTGAGGACCGCTGAAGTCACGCCACTTTTTCACTCAGTATAATTAAAACCTAACTGCTCATATCTCACCTGTTCGCATATGGCTTATGTGCACAGTTTGTGTAACATCGTGCGTAATAGTAATATGACATTTCCATTAAAGTGATCGGTCAAATTAAAAGCGCTCCGTTCTTCTTTATTTTCTTTCCAAAATGCAGAAACTACTTTAATGAATCTATAACTCAAACAGAAGAGACGCTGGTTCTTATTTTAAATATGCACAATCTCATGCCTCCTGATTCGATGCAGCGCTACTGAATGACAATACATAAAGGAAAGCTCTTCTCCAGCACGTTTGCTCCGCTCCTCTTTGGCACTAACTGACCCGTTGTTAATCCAACACAATGCAACAAATGTAGCGGCATCCTCTTATAGCGGCTCGGGGTGTCGGTGTGCAAACAGCATAATTAAAACTGCGAGACAAAGGGAGGATTTCACGGAACAGAGAGCGCTGGGATGAATGGTTCGGATTCAGTTAAAAAAAAAGTGAAGTGTGAGAAGGTCTAAGTATGCTGATTATAATAATAACTAAAAAGTGAAGACGCGTAAACCAGTCAGGGTGCGTGCAAAACAAAAGATGGCACGAGGTTTTCTTTTACACACATATCTTTTTGTGTGAGCGTCACATGGATTTAGGTTTGAATGCATTGTTTTCTTGCAGTCAGAGCAAATCTGTCAAAGTGAAGACTGCCTTCGGTTTTTCTATTGATTTCTTTTGATGGGGGTTCGTCTGCACTCGTGTTTTCTTGTTTCAAACGTGTTTTTAAGAAGTAATGAAACAAGTGAAACCAGAGAAACATTTAAATCTTTTACGACTGAATTCCAGACTTAACGGCACTCTTGTTTTAAGAACTGAGAATACTGCGCACAACTTTACGCACATAAATACGTTTTGTAAATAAATGTCTCCAGTGTTACAAATACAGTCTGACATCCGTCACACACACACAGAGAGAGAGAGAGAGGGAGAGAGGGAGAGAGAGAGAGAGAGAGAGAGCAGCCAACCTTACCTTCTCTCCTCATGCCGACTTTGAGGCACTTCTTCAGCCGGCAGTACTGACACTGGTTCCGGTGGTGCTGGTCGATGGGGCAGTCTCGGTTCCCCCGGCAGGTGTAAGTGAGGTTCCGCCTCACAGAACGCTTAAAGAAGCTTTTGCATCCCTCGCAGGTGAACTGACCGTAATGCTTCCCACTGGACTTGTCCCCACACACCATGCAGTCCACGTTGGGGATCTTGTCCCCGGAAAGTGCGTCGTTCCCTGGGGTAGAACCGTTTGGTGTTCCAGGTGCCCCGCCGGGCTCCTGGCCGCATATCTGGAGTTGAGACCCCGGATCTGCAGAAATGTTCTCTGGCCATTGATTTACTACCATTGCCATGCTATCCCAAAACACTTGGTCTTTGTTTAAACCACAGAAGCAGAGTCAGATTGCGTGATAGAGATCCGTCCTGACGTCTCGG